ATATATATATATATATATATATATACAAACCACATAAATTTTGAAAAACTACATAAATGACGAAAATATTATTCAATTCATGCAAACCGTCGTTAAATTTAACTAAATATATAATTTAGGACTAATTTGAAAAAAACTTTTAATAGTCTGGGACTAAATTAGAGCATTCTAAAATTATGAGACTAAATTGGACACTTCTTAATTGTTGGGAGACTATTTTGGGCTTTTACTCTATTCTCTAGTCTACTTGTAGCTCTCCCAAATAATATGTTATAGTAAATATGCTTAAAAAAGGAAAATGACACGTCTAATCGCATGAATATTTAATATATCATAAACAATTGAATTTAGTTGATTAAGATGTGATGTAAACGAACTTAGTTTTGGAGGTAAATCCCTTTTATAATGGTCACCCGCTACAAAATAATCTCACACCCTTTTTTCATCGCTAAGTTTGGAGAATAGTAGTTCTTAACACAAGCAAAATTTTCACACTCAAAACTATTTATATCTCTTATAATATGATGTTACCAAATTTTTTATAATGGGGTGATAACAGTGTGTAATAACAATGTCTAATCCTTTCTCATTAGCTAGTCGCATCAGTATTTATAAACCACAAACAACTGCACTAAACTAATTCAAATGTAATTCAATAATCATACATTCTTTCATGCATAACAAATAAAACCATGGCTTATAATAGAACTTGTTGGAGAGGCATTTGATCAAGACTCTTGCTTGAGCAACAGCCCCTATGTGAATGCTCCTTTCACATCTATCAAGCCTTTGCTTGCCCAACACAATTGAATTGCCAAAACATTCCATCCATCTCAATCTTGAGTAATTCACGCATCATCGTAGACACATTAGAATATCCACAAGTGCCATTACAAGTCTATGTTGAATTAAAAGACTAACGCCAAAGGGAGAAACTAGAGCCATCAAACATTTCAATGCCAATATTCACGTCTGTCAATCTCTGAAGCAATATTTGATACCAATTTTTATAATGAGAAAACGAAGTTAACAAGGAAGCATCATTGCAAACAAAGTATGATACAGCCACAAAATAGGACGCAAAAGACATTAAGTAGTACAGAGAATGAGAGACACCAAGTTTAGTGTGGATTGGTTCAATCAAGCCTACGCCCCCATGAAATGAAAAATGAAATGATCCAACATCAAAGAATCATAAACTCATATAAAAATGAAGGAACACTCACAAACACTTTCCAAATCCCAAGCGCAACCACACTCAATGAAAAGAATATAAAATATTTCTCACAAATAGAGATTACCTCAAAAAGAGGTTGAGTTGTGAAGCAAAAATGAATCTAATATTAATGATTATTTTATAACTTTGTTTCTAAAAACTTCATTGTATTCTTTCAGTTTCCCTAATCTTTTTGTTTATAAAGAGAGGAAGCACCATGTTATGTTGCATGAAAGAAATTAGAGTTATATTTTCTCCATAATCAACCAGTGAATTTGTATCAATCAAGCAAAACTGACATGAAATTTTTGTGTGCGTTTTAAGCAGCAATTTTCAATTCCATCTTTTGTTATTTTTTGCATTTTATTTTTCATAGCTTTCACCTATTATTTTTTGCATAAAATTCTTGTTAATGAAGATGTTCAATTGTCTACATACAAAAATGTGTAAATGATCAAAGATTGATATTTTCAAATGCATTGATGATTGGAGGAACATCACCTTATCAATATTTTAATTTGACAAATCTAGGAAGAGTGTCATGAAAATTAGCGAGTAGCATTCGTGATTTTAGAGGGGTTATATATAATGCAATAATCATCCTGCTTCTAGACTTACAACACATAGAGATGACATATAATCAATATTTTTAAATGCTTTGAGATTGGAGTAACAGCTCTTAAAAAAGATTAATATTTTCATTTAACAAATCTAGGATGAGTCACATGAAGATTAATAAGTAGCATTCATAATTTTAGAGGTGTTATTTATCGTACAATAACCATCCTGATTGGAAAGCACCACACTTACATCTTTAGGACGAAAGCCCACCATTTCAGTATTAATACGAGAACTAACAGCTTCAAGCTTCATTGATAGGAGCTGCATATCAAATATAAGCATAGCAAAAAATCCAAAAAAAAAGGATGATTTACTAACATACCACTCAATTCTTATCTATTTACATATCTAACACCTAAACTTCAATTTTTACACACACACACACACACACACACATATGCCACTAACTATTTAAGCCGTATTCACTTTATAAAAGTTCAAATAGTGGTATTTTAGATGCGATATAAAAGATTTGGGTGGTATACATGTAAATGCCTCAAAAGAAAATTGTCATTTCCAATGGCAGAAAGATGAATACCTCAACCTGGCGCTGCATTGCCTGGATATAGTTTATGATCTCATCCAGGACAGCTGCCTTCCCAATCACCTGCTCAAAAGAGTATACTATAAATAAATAATACTAAACCTACCTACATTTATATATATAGAGAGAGAGAGGGCGCGCGGTGGGGGCAGTGAGATAAATAACAGCATGCATGATTCTGATCTTGCAAAGATATTTTTAAATAAAAATCACAAATAAGGTCAATTGATGCACCTTGTTACTGCCAGGAACTAAATCTTGTAGAATCTTCATTCGCTCACTTATCTTCTCTCTCCTAGCCTGTTAGGGAAAATAGAACTTCCGATAAGCTGGCTGTGAAAATTGAGGACACATACAATACCAGTCACCTCCAGCGACCAAATTCTAATCAATTTAGAAGTTTTAGCACCAAGGCAGAAACATAGAAGAAAAATTACTGATAATATCTAAAAAAGGAAACCTTTGCGATTGGACAATATTGAGCAATAATGAAAATAGATCTCAAAAGGCGTTACCCTTTCAGCCAAGCTGTGATTATCAGTTGCTTGACCCCTTCTAACTCTCACATGGATGTAATCCAGCTTTAGTAGCTCGGCGTTTTGATCTGGCATCTTTCCAGTAGAACTTGCTTCCACATCAGCTTTCCGTTCACCATTTTGGCCTCCAGATTCCCCCACTTTCACAGGCATTGCTTCGCTATCATCCTACACAACAACAGGTCATTGAATACTATAAATACCATTGTATAAAAATATCGTTGAAACTTGTATGCGAGAAAAAAAAATTTTAACTGAAGAAGCCACTAAAAAGGTATTAAGTCATGAAAACAACTTGAAAGGAATACTCAAATATTACAGCGGTCAGGTATAAAATATTGATAAATAGAATCCAAGTTTGAAAGAGAGGAAAGATAACTTGGATGACGAATAAACTTGGATTGGATTAAATTGAGTTGGCAATCAGTTAGTGAGTGATACATATTGGACTGATTATTTCGGATCTGATAAACTTGAATAAGACATTTCAACAATTGGATCAGGTAAATGAGTCTGGCCAGACCACTAATCAGGTCACTATCCAGGTTGGTTGGGTTAGGGACCGAACAACCATAGATAAATGTGCAAAAAATATAAAAAAAAAATAATAATAATATTGTTGTTGATGTTTAATATATTAAAATTCAGTTGAATAATGTGACAAACTCTTGAGAAATTGAATCTGAATCTTCAAATGATGGTTGAACCCTTTGAATTTGGAATGATTGAATTTGAAAATCAGGGTGTGCAAAAAAATTTCTTTTTCCCTGTTGTTGATATTTGATACATTAAAATTCAGTTGAATAATGTGAGAAACTCTGAGAATTGGAATCTGGATCTTCGAATGATTCAAATGATGGTTGAACCTATTAAGGTGGAGCTCCAAAAATAATATAAGTGATTTGTGAGTCATTCGTGCATCTGTTTAGGTTATATCACAAGTAGACGGATACCCAACTACCTTACGATGTGTACAATTAAGCATTATGATTGAAGCCAACTTAGTACTAATGCATTTCAAAGTGAACTGACTTGGATATTTCTCACTATTTATATATACATTACACTTTAGCATTGGTAGGCCAATCCAAAAGCGAAGTAGGATGATGTTTGCTGCAATTCAATATTTTTTATTAGTGGAAAGCATACGTTTAAAACTGCTATTTTAGCACGATGACTGCAGATAGTTTAGCTGTCATAACAAGGCAATTGTATCTTCTTAGACGATTAAACAGGAATCTTCATAGATCAATATGCTAATTTCATTAGAAGATAAATCAGTTTTTAAGAAGTATATCGTAGGTCTTAATCAAAACTTATGCATTAAATTAAAGCTATTTCTAGCACTTAATAATAGTACAAAATAACACACTATAGTTCGTAACATTAAATAACAAATGTATTAAATAACATATGCTATTAGGCTTTAAATTGCTATAGAGTATAGTGAAAGGTTCTAATAGCAAGCAAAATTTCGATTAAACTGGGAAATGCAACGAGAATGGGCTATTTTGGTTGAAGACAATGGTGATAATAAAATTATGATGTCATTATAAGATGAGGGTATTTTGATTAGAGCTACAAATGAATTGAGCCAAGCAAACCTGAAGGCTATTCAAGCTCGAGCTTGTTTATCAAAAGCAAGTTTAAGTTTGGCTCGAGCTCAATTCAAAATTTTGTGATAGAATTCAAATACAGCTCATTTAAATTCATATTTATTTGAGCTTGGTTTATTTTGTGATTAATGAGCATTAAACGAGTAGCAAGCCTTATCAAATCAAGCAAATTGAACTTTAACCGACCAGTCTCGAGCTTACATATGAAAAATTTTAATTTAACAAACTTTAAATCTTTTAGGTCAAATATTTTTTTAAATATGATTTCGAACAATCTCCCACAAGCTAACATGGAATACAGACTCAATAACTCAACTTAGTTCTTTACTACTTATAAACAAAATTAATTTAAAATATCTTAATGATGGGCCATTAAATGCCCAAAAATGAAATTTATATGATCACAAATGAACCTTAATTAAGCTTTATATCGTCTCAATTGACCTTGATATTGAGTATTACATCAAACTTGATCAAATTTCTTAATGCATTTTTAGGAGCTTTAAAAGAATATTATTGATGACTAAAAGCAAATTGAGTAAAAAGTTATTAAAATTTATTTATTTGATAACCAAATATTAATATAAGCATTCAAGCTTGCTCAACTGGTAAAACAAAACAACAAAAATAATTATTTATCAAGCCGAAGCATGAATAGTTCAACGAACACTCACTTCATCTATAGCCTTACTTTTAGTTTTTGTGATTGAGTTTATATCTAATATTTATAAACAAATAATATTTTATGTTGAGCAAAAGTATTTTCTTGAAAATATTAATGATCATTTTTTTTAATGCAACAACAACAACAAGCCTTTATCCCACTAAGTGGCCTGGGCAACATGAATCCTTTTTCTCCATTGTGTCCTATAGAGTGTCATATTTTCATGTAACTCAAATAAATTAAGATCATTTTTTATACAATATGTTGAGGATGTGGAGCCCTGTGCACTTCTTCCTTTGGAAAAACATTAAGGTGTTAATTATGTGATTAATTAACTTGCTAATTAAAGCTTCCCGCTTCTTCCTCATGTATCCCGCCTCCCCTGTTCCCTTTTACGGATCCTGCCATCTTTAGGTTGGCACATGAGGAAAGGAATATTTACTTAATTATTTTGCTTCCCCAATATTCTCCCGCCAAAGATCTCTCCCTCACACGTTTTTTTCTCATTGGGAATTACCTTTTAAAGCTTCTTTGTACCTCTTATAAATAGCAAGGCAAACGGCCTCTAAAAATCAATCTCTCCAAAGAGGAAATTCCCATCTCTCCGCTGTAAGTTTGCAAGAAAAAGGAACAAAAGCTGCTGTTGTTTTGGGGTTTGCTAAAAGGAAGTAATTCCCTTGATTTTTTATTCCTTCACGTGGCTGTAGCTTGAGAGAAAGAGAGAGGAGAAAGGAAAAACAAAGGGGAGAGGAGAGGAGAGGAGAGAGAGAGAGAGATAAAGTTTTTTTTGTAAACGTCGAGGCGCTCGACGGTGTGATTTCCTCAGCTAATAATAAAATCCTCTGCAGCTCCTGCAGCTCCGTGGACGTAGGCAATTTGCCGAACCACGTAAATCTTGTGTCATTTTTTGTGTAATATTTCTCGATCTAATTTTTCGCTTTATTGTCGTCGTTATTCACAACACAATATGCCCATCCTTTTAGGTCTACTTTTACCTTTCTTAATATAAGTCAAATCTAAAAAATCTACTCTCTTAACTGGGTCATCAGAAGGTTGGCATTTAATGTGACCAAACCATATAATGTGATACTCTCTAATCTTGTTTGCCATTGGAGCTACTCCGACCCTTTCACAGATATATTTGTTTCGCATTTTGTCTCTAAGTGTAAAACCAATCATCCACCTAAGCATTCTCATCTAAGCAAAACTTAATTTTATGTTTCTCTTTTATAGGCCAACATTTTGCGTCATAAAGCATTGTATGTCTCACCACCATTTTATAAATTTTTTTTTTAGTCTATGCGGTATTGTTCTATCACACAATAAACCCGTTGCATTCCTCCCCTACAACCTTCCAATTTGAATTCAACCAATAACATCCTCATCTATATCACCATCACTTTCGACAATAGACCCGAGATATCTAAAACATTCACTCATTTTAATAAATTGATCAATAATTACTTCTCTTTCTCTCTCTATAACTTAGAGTTTAGCATTAAAGTTTTCTTAGTGGCTTTTTTAGAGGATTAGTGATTGAACCATTATCAAGCTAGAACTTCACATACTTGATTTCAAATCTTCAACCTTTGTTTGAGTTGATTGAAGTCATTGAAGCTTAAGTTGAGTTCCTATAGACTTGAAATGCCTTAAGCAACCTCTTTCACCATTTATTAGATAACTCTTTCAATAGTTTATAAAGATTCCATTTGAATACGAGATTCACTTTGAGCTAAGCTCTCTTAATAAAGAAAAAGATGAATGAAATCACCAGATTTTCAAAAATAAAATAAACAGTTCACTAAAATTACCAATTCAAATAAAAATAAAATCAAAATCATTAATAATTTTAAGCAAGCTAATTAAAATTCAAAATTAATCAGTAAAAGAAAATAAAATTTAAAAATCACCAAAATAGTAAAATTATTTAAAAATAAAATAAAATGCAAAATTAATACATACATACATATATATATATATATATATATGTATATATATATATGTTTTTCATTTTATTTTATTTTTAAATAATTTTACTATTTTGGTGATTTTTTGTGTGTGTGTGTGTGTGAAAGTGCGCGCGTGCGCGCGCGCGCACGCTTGTGTGATTTGAAAAATATACAAATTGAAATAAAAAAAATTCCACAAAACAACAACAAGAAGCATTTATACCACTAAGTGAGTCAAATAAAATAATGAAAATTTATAAAAATAAACCAATAATCAATTTCATTAATAAAATTTAATAAAAAATAATAAAATTCAAAATAACATTTTCCAACTTTCTCTCACTGTTTTCTCTCTCTATCTTAAAATTTACTCAAATCCACTTCTTAATTCAAATAAACTTTTCAAAGCTCATTCATTCACCAAATTCTTCATAAAAAGTTCAAAATCACTACACAAGTAACCACAAATTTCAACCCATCATAATTTTCAAAATAAAATTAATCAAACCAAAATTTTTGCAAACACACACACACCCCTCCATTCCCTAAACCACTTCAAAACAAAAACACCCATTCAAGCTTCCCATTGGCCAACTAAGCACGCCCAAATTTCACCCAAAATTGACCTTAAAACCACCAAGCCACCACTTGTCAAATCCAAGCCCTTTAGGACCAAACCCACCCTCCCAAGCCAAGCTACTTTCAAGCAACCATTTCAAGCTATTTTGGCTCCTTCCTAAGCCTAAACTTCTCTGATCTTTTCTAAACCAAAACAAAGCCATTGTGAGCCATTCCTTGAGCCCAAATCAAGCCAAGTTCAAGCCATTGGTTACTCATTTTCAAGCCACTCAAGAACCCATCCAAACACACCAATTAATAGTGTTAACTACAACTACACTTGCCAAAACCCAATTGGTGCATGCCCAACTAACTCCAACTGATTTAACCATCAAATAGAGCTAGATTGAGCTAACCCAAAACCACTTAGCTTCCATTACAAGCCAACCCTTACTCAAAGCACGCATGGCCTAAACTGATTGGAAGCACAACAAATTTGACCAACCACTTAGCCACTTCTCATTGGACAATGACTGTTGACCTTGCCAGCTCATTTCCCGCCAAATGTGGTGCACCTAGTCCATTCCTTGATCCAACTTGAGCCCCTATGCCTAAAATAGGCCTCTCGTGTTTGGGCTCCTCACCAATGATCCACTTGGCGAAGCTCTACCAATTTGATTCCTAACCATTCAATTGAGCTCTAGCTTCAATTCCCTACCATTCTCACTGCCTAGAACCACCATTCATCCATTGAAATAGCTCACCCGAATTAGGACTTTAACCATCCTCACCATCTAACCATTCAATTCTCATTTAAACCCTTCCATCACACTCTCCAACTGTGAAAACTTAATTCACCATCAATTTCCCTATGATTTTAGCTCTCTCGACCATTTCAAGACCAAACTGTGGACGGGTTCGATCAAGATCAAAACTGTTGGAACTTCAATTTGATTGTTGGAGCCGGTCCCTTGGATGAAACCAAAGCTGACTCACGCATTGAATCAAGAAGATTCTTCACGGATTGATGTATCATACATCTTTGATTCTAAACATATTTGTTTAATAACCCTTACATAAATGAGTTCTAGAATCTTCAAAATCCTAAATAATGGGGCCTCCAATAAAAATAAATTAATTCTTGATTAAATAAAAGTAAATAAATGAAAGAAATTCACAATAAAATCAATTCTTTCCGGTTTAGCCGAGCCCTTCATTTCGAATCAAATCATTTACCCTTCTTTAGGTTTGCTTGTTTATGACAAGTTAACCTAGATTCCATCCATTTCAAGATATTCTTAGTTATTGCCAAAATCATAAAAGAAAATAAAAGAAAATCCACAAAACAAAATAAAACTAAAAAATTCAAAACAAAATCAAAAGTTCAAAGAAGAGTTAACTTTCAGAAAACACTTAGTTAACTAAGCAAGTCAGGAAACTCAGAGTCTGAAAATCTTTACAACTAGAATGAAGCACTTAATAGAACTAATACTTCAAACTTTCAAATTTCAGAAAAAAAAAACTTCACCAAAGTTGATTTTCTCGTTTGTTACTAACTAAATTTGGTCGTAAGCAAGAGCACTCTGTCTGATGAAGTTGTGATTACATTTGTATCGGTATTTGACAAGATTGATTTGACTCTGGGAAACATGATTGTTGCTATAGTCAAGTTTGAGATTGTTGAGCCTGCTGAGCCAGTTGATGAATTCAACCTGAGATCAGATGAGGAGTTTCTCTCACTGAAGAGAGTGTTGATAGAGAATAAGTCTATAGTTGTTGTTAAGTCCCTTGCTAGGACAATTGATGTTACTAAGTCTGCCCCTGCTGAGAGTAAATCTGTGGTGCCTATGACCGCCCTGTACATAGTTATGTTTGCTAACAAAACTTGTGAAAATAGGTTATGTTGATGTTTAGTCACTGACCTAGGCAGCATGAGCGATCGTGGGCTTCAAGTCTCGCAATTCTAACATTTTCTTCTAAAAGCAAGTGATAAACCACAATCCCTATTTGAGTTGTAGAAGAGCTTGCAAGTTCTCTATGGCTTATGGACACTAACAAATTATGGAGCAAACATCCACTTGAAGTCAGTAAATGACGAGATTACTCTTGGTGATAATCGGTTGAACCTCTTGAGGATCAACTCCCTCAGTGTGGTGAAGAAAAGACGGTATTTCAACGCGTCAGTGAGTCTTAGCAAGCACACGGTTGTCTCAAATGAGGCTATGTGATCGACCAAATCATTTTGCCCCTTGTAAGACTCCAGTGTCAGGATCTTAAATCATTTTAAAGCCTTGACCTTAAAATTTGTTGCGAGAATGATTTTTCGAGCTAATGGGGTGTCTCAATACACCTAATCCGATGTCGATCGATCGGTGTCGACGCAGCACTATCGAAGTACTAGGAATCGCTTTCCCTTTACAAAGCGGGGAGGACATTTTTGTCATTGGGCACCAACACTTCCTCTTTGGGCTACTGATGTCTTCCCTAGGTCAGCGTGCCTCGTATGACATCCAGCATTTGATCATTCAACTCTTGGATTTGTTGGGTCACAAATTTTCTGTGCACTAAATGTTGTCAGTGTCTCTATTATGAGTTTCTTCTCCTTGAGATATTTCTATTCTTATTCGTGACATTATCCACACTCATCGTACATTTTAGGATGTTAAGTCCTAATTTATCTATGAATCACACCCAATAAATAAAGCATAAATAAGAAGAGACAGAGATAGAGAGATAAACAAAAATAGAGTAAATAATAATATATTGTGATCAATTGTCTTATTTGAAAATGAATCTCCTATTTATATATAAGAGAGTACAAAAGAATGATATTGCATTTTTTCCGCTGCTTTGAAGGGGCTCTTATTGGGGTATTTCTAGTATTTTACATGAGCAAGCTTGACATCCAGATGCTTTATGGCTCGGTCGACTAAGCTTAATTGACTTCGGGTCGACGGGATCAACTTGGTCAGCTAAGCTTGGTTGGCATGGATCGACAGAGTCCGTTCAGTTGGTTGAGCTTGGTTCTTATGGGTCGGTAGGGTCAGATCAGTCAGCTATGCTTGGTTGATATGAGCCGGCCGACAGATATGGCCTGGTTGTCAACCTTAGTGCCTGATGAATAAAATGTCAAAAACCCCAAATGAACCATCTTTTAGCTAACTGAAAAATAATATTCTTAATTTTTATGTGGGGAAAACAAAAAAAAAAAAAATGTTAAAAACGCCAAATGAACCATCTTTTAGCTAACTGAAGAATATTCTTCATTTTTATGTGGGGAAAAACAAAAATTCGACGGCGTCGCCCTTTTTTTACCTGAAGTGCACCTCGTCGCCTATTCAAGGTCATCATTCATCCTGCAGCCAGCTAGTATTTGTGGGCCAGCAATGAACTACTGTAGAACTGTTCCCCACTCCATTAAAAGAACCACAGTAGAACTGCTCGACAAGATACATCATTTCCATAACGATGATGTTTGCCAACAGCTATCTTATTCGGAAGAAAGAGATCACTCTTCCTATGGCAAAAATAAGGTTGCGTTTATTCATACTATAAACCTCTTGGACTGACCTCACAGAAGTCTGTAAGAGCTTAATTTATGTCCTTTTCCAGTGAACAGAAAATTAGGGGGCAAAAAAAAAAAAACCTATGTCGTATCCCGCAGTATTCTAGCCCTATGTCGTATCCCGCAGTATCGTATCCCGCAGTATTCTAGCAATCTTGCCCACTTCAAAAAATTGAAAGAAAAGGACAAAAAAAAATCATTAGAAATCCAAAAGAATCCTCTGACTTTAAAACCCTCATCAAAATTTTCTTCACAGATATAACTCCACCGGACAACAATTTCAAAAGAAAGAGCAAACAAACAGCTTCGAGAAACAAAAAAAACAGTTATCATAGTTTAAACGAAATGAATACCAAGTCATTGCTGCCGCTCCTGTTCGGCAAGAACTTGAACGATTCGTCTTCTGACGCTGCAGACGAACACATCCCTGAATCCCGGCACTTCTTCCTGTTCCCGAGACCACCACTCTGCTCAGTCACAGTCGATTCGCCCGCTGATATGTCACGATGGCTCATCCCGGATGCCGTATTCCTTATCGCCGGTACCAAAGAGAAATGCCACATCTCCGGTAGCGCGCTGTGAGATATCACCAACGATGGATCCATCTGGAGAAATACGGAAGCACCAACCCGATTCCCCAGTTCACATTAGCAACCAAATCCTCATTGTTTTCTCAGAGTAGCACAGATCCCGATCGGTGTCGGCTTGTAGAATGTGAGCACTTGGGGTTAGAGAGGGAGAGAGGGAGAGGGAGAGCTACTTCGGCTTCTTTCTCCGTTCTGTGACATCAGCCGTAATAAATTGAGCTCCATCTCCCAATAACTAAGCTAAGTTATAGCTGAGAGCTTATTGCAATAACATCTAAATAAGCTTTTAATAACCTATCAATACATTTCATGATTTGATGTTCATTTTTTTTTTATCATTCGAGCATTTTGTAAAGTTATCGAAGATATTAACCCCAATAACAGCGAGATAACCCTTCAATACCCCAGAATAATCGTCATACGCATGCAATTCTACATGTTGATGACGTAGGTAAATATTTTTCTAATAAATGGGGCATATACTAAACATCAGGAAAGAAGTTTCACCGTCCATCAAATCATACGATTTAAAAAGAGTTAAAATGGATGGCGATCCACGCTGTTGACTGAGGATGTATTTATTTTTTATTTTTCACATATTTTGACTCTTGCATGGAGCGAGCTCTCAGCTTCAAAATTGACTTTCATAAAATAATTAAAGAAAATTTTACATATATACCATATAATTTCTATGCATTTACATTTCTAACATTCAAATTTTGATATTTGCACTTATAACAACTTGATTTATTAAACATGCAAAGAGATATTCATATTGTTTTTACAAAGATAGCAAAGATTGTTGAATCTAATTTTATTTTGGAGTCACACCGAAGGAACAGAGCGAGAGAGCACATGGTAATAAATAGTAAAATGAAAATTTTATTGATATTTATTGAATTGATCCCAATTTGTTGGAGGGGTAATATGTAATAAGCTCTTTGGAATATAATATATATATATATATAAACTACAC